AGCACCAGTGTAAATAAAAGAATAACCTTCATCGACATCTTCCTAAATTATAAAAAAAAATTTTTTATTTTCAACTTACACTATTGCACAACTTTATCAGATAGTTAAGTTAAACGAATAATAAGTATTAAATTTATATCATATTAAATAATATATATGATATAGATATTAAAACTGACAGGATAGCCTCCAGACAAAGCAATTGAATATGCTCCATTTGGGCCACCATGAATTCCAGCTACTGTAGGCCTATGTACACCATACATAGAACATTCCATTCTGGTTTCCCAGTGAAAACCAATGTCAACACCTGGTACAGCTCCATAATCATTAGGTGGTCGAACAATTGGAGGCTTGTTTGGCTCTGATTTCGATTCATAAGATATAAATTTATCATCTTCTTCTTTATACTAAAATATTTATAATTTAAGGTATTTAACTTTGTTACAAAATTACTCTCTTGATGAAAAACATGATAAATAAATTTTACTAACTACAACAGAAGGAGAATTTAAAAGTCTTGTAGATCTTCTAACTGATATCAGAGGAAAATTTTTATCAACTTGTTTTTTCTTCTTTTTTTTTTCAGTGTTAGCATTTTTTTCAAATTTTGATGTGGAGGTATTTAGTGGTGTTAATAATGAGAATTGTTTCTGAAAAGTAAAAACAATTTAAAAAATACACTTTGAGACAAATAATATAAACTTATTATTACAAACTTTACACAATTTAAACACTTTATTTAGAATAAATAATAATAATAATAATAATAATTTTGTTATTCCAAGATATTAGAATTTTCAGTAACTTAAAATTTTCAACAGAATTCAACTTTTTAAAAAATCTAATTTACAATTTATTTTTGTTACAAAGTAATAAATCACTTATTTTAGTCGTTTTTAGTTTCAAAAACTTAATTTTAACTAATTAGTAGTTTTTTTTTTTTTAAATTAAAATACCTCTTGTTCTTTATTGAGTTCTTGCAAGATTTTCAATCGCTGTTCTTTAACTTTTATAATTTCAGCAACAACAGGATTGCTTATGTCATAATTTTCTCGAATAGTTTTTATATCCGTTGCAATGGGTAGTGCCGATGTAACATTCATTTTCGATACAAAAAGAGTACATTTAACTAAATCAACTGGTAAACTGTTAAGTACACCTGCACAAAATCACGCGGTTAAATTTTTAATAATTGCCAACTTTAAAAAAAAAAAAAAAAAAAAGTTACTTAAGAATTTAAAAATGACTTTTACAAATTTTTTATAAACGTTTGTGTAAAAATAATTGCATTGAAAATCTCCTTCGGTTATAACTATTTATAAAATGATATATTTAAAAGAAAATTTTCATAAATACAAGTAGTGATTTGTTTGAAGAAATCAAGGTCACGAAAATTATCTATTCCAAACGTTCAGGTATAACTTGATCGTTTACTATAAGATGATGAATTATTCCTTCTCTTCGATTTCCGCTTGTAACGGCTTTTATGCAAGCTGGCCATTGACCTAAAGTAAAATGTGTTTCTGTTCCATCCTCGACGAATTCGCTCTAATTTGAAAAAAAAAAAAAAAGTAAGAACTTTTTTTTAGATATTTTTTATAAATAAGTAACCATTATATATAAAATCATAAATTACTTACGGCTACATCGAGTTTTACGCCGTTTGCCCATATATCCAAATTACCTTTTTCTAAAACCACCCTATAAGTGTCATCATTAAAATGAACTATCCAAGTTTTAAGAGCTTTCGATTGTATTTCTGCAAATGTATTAAAGTTTTTACCATTTACCATTAATGTATAAGAATAAGAAAAACCACCGACAGGATCTATCTACAATTTACAATAAAAAATTTTTAGCACGCAAAAAAAATCCTTTTATTATAACACAAAAATTTTTGTAATTACCCTTATAATGCATTTTGCATTGCCAACTGTGAAATATTCACAACCGACCAATTTAAACATCCAATCTTTTTTAAAAATTATTTCATCATCAACTCTAATAACTCTTTTTCCAGTTGTTGTTCCATGTTCAAATTCTATTTTATGAACGCCATCGTTAAGCGGTACATTCCAATGAGCAACAACATCAGAACTCATTGCTACAAGTTTAATAAAATAACGCTCCTCTTATTTTATTAAAATGAATAATAAGAATAATAATATCCAAAAACTCCTAAGCAACCAACAACTCAAAACATTTTTCACATTACACAAATGCGCAGTTTCATTTTAAAAAAAAAAAATTATGGAATTATTGAATATATTTAATTTTCTTAAATGATTTGGCTCCAAGCAATTTTTTCAATAATAAATTTTTCACAACTATACCAATAATAATAATAATAACAAAATATTATATGAGTAACATTATTCATGATAGTTAATATTTATGAATTTAAATAATAGATTTAAATAATGGACAAGATAGAAAAGTTTATTAATCAAAAAAGAAATCTATATAATATATAAGATTATGTATTATGAACATTTATGCTTTGTATTTTATAAATTTTGAAAAAGTAAATTTTATTGATTGTTTTTTTTTTTTTTTCCAGATGGTTTGAAAACCTTGGCTCATGCAATTTGACAATCAATCAATGAATGAATGAAAAAGTAAATAAATTAATATGTAATAACAGTTTTTTTTAAAACTATTCTCTTCTATTCAACACCACCACTTGCAAAAACAAAAATGGGAAAACTTGGAAATAAAAAAGTTCCCGTGAATTGTTTTGTCAATAATAATAATAATAATAATAATAGTGTCATATTGTTTTACTTGATGTCGTTTCAATTTAAATATTTATACAACTGTACAAGGAAATTGTCGAGACAATAAATCATAACAGTTCTTTGTTTCTCTTTTGTGTTATGTTATTTTAAATTAGCACACAAACACACAACACAACACACACACAAGGCAATATTTTAGCCAGGCGTTTTTATGACGGAATTTTTTTTTTTTTTTTTTTTTTTAATAGTAAATACAAGCGTTAAATTTATTGTTTATTAAATATTAGTATGATAAAAACCATATAATGATATGACTATCATAAAAATTTATATAAATTTATTTTACATATAAACAAAAAAATGGAACCAAAGTAAATTTTTTTTTTTTTTTTTTACTTTGTTAAAAATTTTTTTAACCTGTTGTCTCTAAATATTTTATTATTAATATATTAATATATTTTATATTAAATTTATTTGTAGTTGTATTATTACAGATGAACCCTAATCATAAGAGAAGAAAAAAAATCGTTTTTCATAATTGTTATGGTTAGTAATGAGAGAGAGTTTCTATAGAAACGTCATCATCCCCTTTACATAGAATAAACAACAATCGTAGAATATTTTTAAATTTTATTTAAAATAAAAGTATTTCACGTTCAAAAAGAAAAAAATAAATAAATTTCAAATAAAAAAAATGTGTGATGATGATTCTTTTTTAAAACAAGAAGAAGAATTTCTTAAAATAAATGATGAGATTA